GCTTGATATATACTAACCTATGAGGTATAGCTTCCATTATCAGTCACCAGAGTTTGACCAAATGCAACAGAATATTTTGGTTTTCCTCAGATATCAAAGCATTTTTCTATTTGTTAAAGTGGAAGCACTGTGAATATGACAAAGAAAATGTGTAACCACAGGTGCTAAATTCTGAGTAAAATTCTCAGTAAAAATCTTTGGGTTTGAGTCAATAATTAAGAAGATTTCTATGGCCCAAAACCAAAATCCGACAGTGGTGTAAATCCCCTTCCACACTGAAGCGCTTACTTTATTTAAACATCAACCTGAAACCACCAGACACATCAGTGAGTTTATGGTCTGACTCATTAATTAACCACATTCATTTGAATCACCTCTTGTGTCCAAATAGTGTTGTATACTGTAAATTCACAAAAAAAACCTTTTTAACTTTGTTTCTTGCAACTTGTCAGTAGAATTCAAATTAAAACTATCGACAGTCTAACACAAATCAATACATAAGGATAAATGTCTTCAATTTCCACTTTTTTGACCATTCTATGTTGAAGGCGTATATTTATATATAATATAGATATATTTTTAAGTTATTTATTTCCCCAAAGAAATAAAAAGTTCATGCTCCATCTGTATTTTCCCCCAGTTTCTTAAATTGTTGAGAATTTGAATTTGTTAAAACACCTTTATTTCTGTTTTTATATTTTTGTTTTATATTTTCTCATTTAATTTTCAGGCTAAGAGCAGGTTCATTTTCATTTCTGCTTTTCTGTTTGTTATTGAATGTTATATCAACCGGGCCCACACCAGTGTGATGCAACATTCCTCCTTTACCAACACATTTAAAACAGCACAGTTCATAAGCATGAGCCTCGAATGTCTGCTGGGAACTGTAAAAACGGGGTCCATGAAAGAATGAGCATTTTTGGAATACCTTTGGGTAGTTTTTCATTACCAACAGTTATAAGATGACCAATGACTTTCACCCCACGCTGTGCGAGGTAAAAGCGTTTGATTGGGAAATGGAACATCACTGTATTATGTTTTATAGTCCTGC